CCACCACGTCCTGGAAAGGAAGCCTTTCTGCGAGCATCCATGCATAGCCAGAAGAGTCCGCACGGTACTGATATGTGAATTCTCAAATACTACCTTTGGATGATCTCATTACTCATCAGGTATTTATTGAACATGCATTTAAAATGCACGGGTGAATTAAGTATAAACTCCCTATTTGCATTTGCACATCAAGATATCTACTAGTAAGGAATATTTGGAAGAATTTATTTATTCAGCAAATTATGGCCCTGCCCTGTTGTCACCCTATCTGTGATTCATTTAACAAATATTTACCTACCAGCTTCCATGCCCAGACCTGTGCTAGACACTGGGCATATCAGCAGAGGAGGTGAATGCATGCCCGGAAGAACGCTCAGTAGGATACTCTTTCATTCAGTCTTTCATGACGCACCTGAGAATACCGGACGTCATTTGTGTGTGCGTTGACATGGGTAAAGTGCTGCAAATGTACTGGTTTGGAGACAAGGAATGTATCGACTCTTCCAGAAAGATTTTATTGCTTCTGTGAAAAAGATCGTACAGTCTTCACCAATCGTCCCTTTGGGAGGGTGGCTGCACAGGTGTTTGTCAGTTACGTCTCTGAGACCTTTTGTGTTTTGAAAGTTTCTCCAGAAAGGGAAGCTATAGGAGAATCCCAGTTGCAGAATTTGGGGGCATGGGGTCGGGGAGACAGGAGGCAGAGCTCATGTGAGCATGAGGTCATGGTGAGGAGAGGATGTGACAATGCTGGCGAGACTCCTGCAGGTGGGGAGACAGCAAAAGCAAAGCTACTGATTGATTTTTTTTTTTTTGATGACAATGGTTTCTTTGTTCAGAATCGTAATTTTGTCCTTTAGATTTTATAGCTCACCTCCAGGTTGCTTCTGTATTTTGAGCAAAAATTAGTCGTGTACAAGTGGCTTGGGATGTGGGCCAGTTTCTCGGAGGACCTGTAGACCTGCAATTAAAAATGGAACCCGTGGCACTTCTTGGGAGTTTTGTGCACTCAAAGAAGGTTCAGATTTTTTTTGTTTTTTGTTTTTTTTTTGTTTTTTGGTGATGAGAGATTGAGAATGTTGCAGAGGGTTGAGGGAAACTGGCTGGCAGGGTTCAGCGAAGTTGTTTCATATCCCTCAAGTCCAAGCACATCATTTTAGGGAAGAATAAAGGAGCCTGTAATTTAGGTTCTGACGTAAGACTTTTGGACATGCTCTCTCGTCCTCCTCCAGGATGTGCTTTTCTCTTTGGTTTATTTTGCAAAGGCACATCGATTCCCCTCTCCTCATCGCCATCTTCTCCTACTTTTAGAATATATTTCTTTAAGTTCTTAAAAAAAAAATTCAGTCAGGACACGCTTAATGTTCTAAATCTGAATAATGCATTTTGAATGTAGCTGCATTGCCCCCTTAGGATTACAGTTTTTTAAATGGAACAATTTAAAATATTTTCTATGTAAATGGGCACGCAGGGTAAATGATTTGGGAAAGGATACAGTAGTGTTTCCCTGGCAGAACTGCTATTTTTTAAAAGATTTATTTATTTATACAAGAGCTGGGGTACAGGTTAGAGGTGTGGGGTGAGAGGATTCAGCAGAGACAGAGTGGGGAACAGAACAGGCAGACTGACGAAACACACTGCTGAGGGGAGCAGCGGGCAAGACAGGAGAGGTCTGCCACACCATGTGGGACCCTTGCCGGCCGGCCGGGATAGAACCCGTGCTGCAGAGACTGCAGACAGCTTCACAGCACTGCGCTCAACCCGCTGCACCACCAGGGAGGCCCAAGAACTGCTGTTCTAAAACAAATAAATATAATGTATTAGCTGAACCCCAGGTAACAGATGCTTTTGAGCGGTTTCAGATGACCTGCCATGTATAGCACAGTGTTCAAGGCGTGGGCTGTCTAGTCACGGACTTGATTTCAAGGCCTGAGTCTAGCATATGTTTGCTATGTGACCTCAGCAAATGTCAAACCTTTTCTTAACCTTCCTGTCCTTGATTATAAAATGGCTATTGGAAGACTAACTGCTTCAGAGATGGTTGTTGTTGTGAATGTAAGTTAGGGACTGATAGGTGTCCAGGGACCCCCCAAACTGTTCAGGAGCTCATTCTAAAAGGGTATGGCCATCTGCATGCATAGAGGCAAAGAAAGCAGACTATTAGTGGGAATGATTTTTAATCATTTGTTTAGTGAGAAAGAGAGAAAAGGGGATTTCAAATAACAGTTTCCCAGTAAAACTCCCACCCCCTGGTGGGCAAATGCCAAACAGGCTGAGCCTGAAGGAGCCATCTGAGCCTGGAAAACTGGCCCCAAGTCTAAGGTACCTACCAGTAGGGAGCCACTAGCCAGGGCATAGGTAGGTCGAGAGCTGGGACAGAAGGAGAAACCCACAATTCAAAAATGTACCTTATAATCCACCATGATTTCAAGATAATGGCTGCCTTGTCTCTGCCAAGGACCAGGAGCAGCCTCCCCATGTGCCTCAACACGAGTCTCTCTTCCATGTGTCTCCTCCAAGTGTCTCTCTTTCTTCCTTTCTTCCACCTTCTGTATAGACATATATATCTATATTCACCGTGTGCCTTCCAGCTACCCCCATTCAAGCATGGCATGCTGGGAATTGTAGTCCAACGTGACTGCATGTAAGTGGCAGCTGGGAAGATGGTGCCCATTTATTGCAGTGTGATGCGCCTCTCCCTTTCATGGAGATGTATGAGGACTCAGTGAGACTATATATGTGAAAAGTGCCAAGCTCATCGCAAGAATTTGATAAGTAATCTTGGCAGTTAGTCTCAGTATTAGTGCTTTGTTAGGTGTGTTTGTGGCACGGACCTGTCTTTTGTTTCTCATAAAATACACCCCCCCCCCATATGCCCTATTGTCTTGGCTGTTTGGTAACACACAGACCTCCACTCTGCCACTAACTGTGTACATTATTCAGTTTCTTTGTGCTTCTGTTTCCCTATCTGTAGATAATAGTAGTTGCATCTCACTGGGTTGGCGTGAGGATGACATAGAGTGATCGTTGCTTTGCCCTTTGGTACCCTGCAAACCTTCAATCTGTTCTTGTAGTGAACGCGCTCTGGTTTTTGCATCAAGTGCTTCTCTTCCTACTCTTTCCTGAGGCCTTAGTTGTCACCTTCTCTGTTGCATTTTTGGGGCTTCTTCCAAGCAGCGATCCCTCCTCCGTGTTCTAGCACCACCTGTGAACATATGAAGGCAGCAGTTGTTGTGTGTTGTGTTCCAATTAGCCGGCTTCTGACTTGATTCTGTGTTAGCCCAAGTTGTTATCCACAAGCTTCCCTTGAAGGATGAGAGCAAAGCTTGATACGTATGTGAAGAATTATTTTCTTTCAAGAGCAGAAGCCAATAGGTGGACTGTTTCTAGGTGGCTCACTTATTATTGGCCCTTACACAGACCCGTAGCCTGTCACAGTGCCCAGGGGCAGTGTGTTCCGGTCCAGCTTCATATCACTGTGAGTGAGATCAGCATACCCTGGGGGGAGAAAAATCAGCAGTTACCCAGCAGGCACTGGGTGGTTTTGGGCTCTTTCTCTAGGGCCTGTGTGGCCTCTGGACAAGGGATTCACTTAGTGATGCTTTATTCTCGACATGGAGAGAATGAGACCCAGCTACTGGGTTGCTGTTGGGAGAACATGTGAAGTGCTGTCCCTGGTACTTGGGTGATGGTCAGTGACCCTTAGCTCTTTCTTCTTCCCAGCTTACCCAGTGCCGGAATGAGGATGCAAATTCTTTTCTTTTTTTAAATTATTTTTTTAAAGATTTATTCACCTATTTATATAAGAACTGGGGTACAGGCCAGATGCGTGGGAGGGTGAGAGGTTTCACCAGAGACAGAGCGGGGAACAGAACAGGCAGACCAATGAAATACACTGCTGAGGGGAGCAGTGGGCGAGACAGGAGAGGTCTGCCACGCCATGTGGGACCCTCGCCGGCCGGCTGGGATCGAACCGGCACTGAAGAGGCTGCAGACAGCTTCACAGCGCGGCACTCAACTGCCTGCGCCACCAGGGGAGGCCTGAGGATACAAATTCTTAGAGATCAGGAGAAAAATAAGTGATGTCTGCTAATCGGATTCCCATCAAGGAGTGGCATTATGGTGCTGGTAATTGTTTGCTAACTTTTTAGGAGAAAAAAACCATATAGAAATTTAATAATAGCACCTATACCTGCTGTCTACAAAGGGAGACCCTGCATGACAAACTTGCCCACGTAGCTTCAGGCATCATCTTTTTTAAAATGACCGAAGGACCGTTGGTTTACATGATTGTTAGTGTATTGTAAGTATAGGATTCTCTCCCCCTGCCCCCACGAGGTGCAGTCTCCATGGTGCGCCCACCACCAAAGTGCCCATAGGCCACCACCACATCCACCTGCTGCTCCCCCCACCCCCAAGGCCTTAGTTCTGTGAGCAGCTTTCACGGGTTTGTTTCTAAGATATCATCTTCAATTACGCAGCTAGGATAAGGAGCGTTGAGGAAGGAAGGGGAAATCCAGTTAAGGCATTTATTGGGTCAAAGGTACTTCTGCCTTCTCTCTGGAAAAGAGATAAAGGGATTAGAGATAAAGAGATGTTTAGACAGAATCATCAAGAGCAACCTCCGCCCAGCCTTCAGAACCTCCTCTTGCCAAAGACATGTCGTGTGTGGTGGATTTTTCTCCCCCCAGCCCCGCCATGAGAATGGCCCAAGCTGCTCCTCGGTTCAGAAGTTGAGTCATCCCATCATTTCTTTTCTTTCTTTTTTTTTTTTATAAAGTTTTATTTGTTTATTTATACAAGCACTGGGTATAGTCAGAGGTGTGGGAGGGTGAGAGGATTCACCAGAGCCAGAGCGGGGAGCAGAGCAGGCAGAAGGACCGAAGTGCACTGCTGAGGGGAGCAGCGGGCACAGCAGGGGAGGTCTGCGCGCCATGTGGGACCCTCCCCTGGCGGCCTGGGATCGAACCGGCGCTGCAGAGGCTGCGGGCAGCTTCGCAACCCAGCGCTCAACCGCTGCGCCACCCGGGAGGCCCCATCCCATCATTTCTTAGAGCCTCTCTGTCCTGAGAGTAGATCCTTCCTGTTCCACAGTGTGTCCAATTTCTGGAGGCCTTCTGGTGGGCGGGGCCACAGGTCAGCCTGCCTTGGGCGAGCCACAAGGGGCATTTCTATGGGAACAGAAGAGAAAGTTCAAGACTGAAGCAACACAAGGTCCAGTCGGGTGGCAGCTGCCTCTCCAGATGGGGAGGGCAGCCGGTGGCATTCTTGTTTGCAATTGGACATCATTATTGGTCGTTTTTTAAATGTCCTCCTGAGGTGTGACAGGTGGAGGAAGCAGTGTTTGCCACCACCAACCAGAGCTCAGGGCCGGGCACCGAGGGAGAAGGCAGAAGATGATGGCAAAACCTCAGAAACCAATTACCGAACAAATGGCCCCCTCTCCCGCCCCCCGTCAAATTTTGAGAGAATCACAATAAATTCTTTACATGTGGGAAGCCAAAGGGGTTGTTTTCCTGTTCTTGTCCTTTGCCTTTTATTTCTAGAACCTGCCACTGTAGTCCCCATATTTTGGATCTGCGATTTGCTGTACTTTCTTAATTTTGATATCAGTCCATTTCAGATTTTCACAAACTTTTTTATATTTAAATCATATTTCTGTGCTAGGTTCTTGTTTCAGGCTGAGGGGCCTGGACATTTAGCCAAATTCTCCTTTACTCTTTGTGCTTTCCCTTGGGGGGGCTTCCTTTTAGTCAATATTTATGTCCCCCCAGGCATGCCCCCCGGCCCTTGCCCCACTTAGCAGACCTCTAAGGGGTTTGAGGTCTCCCAAAGATAGTTGTTCCCTTGAACCATGAAGTGGTCCCGTTCGGCCGCTCTCTCACCAGGCAGCAGCACTTTTCTCACACTTGGTGACGTGCCTACTGCGCCACGCTTCCTCAGGTGCAGGGCTGTTTCGTAGAAAGCGTGGCTAAAGCTGCCATTCTTTTCAGTTTCTTCTCTCCAGATAGATGAACACGTCATTCATTCGCTCACTCGTGCATGTACGCAGCATGTCTTTGGGGACTCCCTGTGGACCTGGCAGTGGCCTCGGTGCGGGGGCTTCTCTGAGGAGGTCTTGCGAGGTGAGCCCAGGTCCTTCGGGGAGGAGAGAGAGCAGAAGTCCGCAGGAAGGAAACCAGGTGGCCTGGCCCGATGAAGGGGACCTGCGGCGGGACCTGGTGCAGGAGTGTGGGCCCCAGAAAGTAGGGGGAGGCCGGCAGGAGGGGTGCTGCCCCAGAAAGGAGGGCACGGCAGGGTGAGGACCGGGCCGCCCTGACCAGCTGGGTTGGCGCATGATCACCATGCCGGGAGTAAGACCTAAGACCCAGGGGGCCCACCGGGACAAGGAAACTGGTGGTGTCCAGGGTGCAGGGAGAGTAATCTAGAAAACCCAGAGGAGCGCCGAGTCTGCAGAAACACAGCTGGGAGGAGAAGGGGGCCTCCTGGCAGAGAACCCCCCACCCCTGGGAGACAGTTTCTCCCTTTAGGAAGAAGGGTAAAGGGGTGCAAGCGTGGAAAGGCCTTATTTAGGGAGGTGACAGCCACGTGGGGCCTTTCGGTTCAGTAGGGCAGGAGCGGGGTGTGGGCAGGGACTCGCCCTGGCCGCCTCTTCCAGGACGCTTGCCAACGTGGGGAGGACCGGAGTCTCTCAGGCAGTTATTGCAAGTAGGTGAGGGCTGCTTTCTCCGCCCAGTGCTTTCCTAGAACCTTTTCTAGTTTGGACACATGCATGTAGTTCTGCTTCCTGCGAAATCCACAGCAGTCTCAGAAACCTTGGAAGTTGTTTATGAGCTTTTCAAAAGGCAGGTGAATGGAGGATGCGAGCCTCCACCGGGAGACTCTGCAGACACGCGTGCTGCCTCTCGTGCTTACAGGGCGTCCCGATGAAGCTCAGGATGTCGCCTGTCACGCAGACCCTCACCTCACGACCTGTGCCCGTCTCCAGGCTACTCAGACTCACTGTGTTCTTCCAAGCTGAAGAGTCGAGAATCTACTCTGGATTTTACTTTTGCTCTGAAAACTCTATTGTAGTGTTCTCTTGGTTCCAGAGCACAGTCGTCTTCAAAAGACACGTTATATTCCTTTTCACAAAAATTAATAGTGTTTTTAGTAAAAATAATTTAAGGAAGTTTTCTGTTAACAGTGTCTTCATGCCATAAAAATTTGGAGGCTTCCAAAAGGGCCAAAACAATTGGAGTAAACAAAAACGGAATTTAAATGGCTATGAAATATTAGGGAAGAATAAAAGTTTCTTCTTCTTGACTGTCTTCAACTCACAGAATGTGTCAATTTTGTGACAATTGGTCCTTTTGAATAGAAAAGAGTTTCATGGCCAAATGAGTTCGGTAAATGCTGGATTAAGCAACATTGAAGTGAGTTTTCTATACTGACGGGTTGTGTGGCGTCTCGACATGCTAACATGAGGGTGGACTCACCCCATTGGAGTAGAAGCATGTCCTGTTTCCCTCACTCATTTGATCACAAAATGTAATTATTTTCATTTTTTATTTATTTTATTTATTTATGTCATTGCTCATTTTTTACAGTATTTGGTTTCTCCCCTCAGGTGTAGCCCCTCTGTACTCCATCACCACAGCTCCACCCGTGAACCACCCCAGTAGTCCCTTATGTTCTTCACTCCCCTGTTTTGACTCCTCTCCCTGGTCAGCCTGCAAGTTTTGTCTTTTGTTTTGTTTCTCTATATTCCACATATATTTCTCTATATTCCACATATCCACATCTGATATTTATCTTTTTCCTTCTGACTTATTTCACTGAGCATAATCCCTTCTATCCATGTTGCTGCAAATGGCATGAGTTTATCATTTTTGATTGTAGAGTAGTCGTCTGTTGTGTATATAGGCCAAACTTTTAATTGGGGCTTTTGGGTTGTTTCCATATCTTAGCTATTATAAGTAGTGCTGCAATGAACATAGGAGGGCAGGTTTCCTTTCTAACTAGTGTTTTTGTGACCACAAAACTTTTTTCTCTTGATCATTTTGTTCTCTAGTGACAAACCCAGGCTCTGCTCATGGTCTCATGACAGTATGAGTCATAGTTTACCTGACTATTTTTTCTGTGCCATGCCATGCTATTAATGAGGTGATGATGATGGTGCCACCGATTCTACAAAGGAGGAAACTAAGACACTCAGAGTGTAAACATTTGCCCAATATAAGTGAAGGAGCCAGAAGAGCAGTCCGCAATAAATGTTTGCTAAATGAATAATGGAAATCTGTTTTGCTCTTGTATAACTAGGATTCTAAGCCTTCCTATTTTTATAAGTGATATTTAAGGGTAGTTTCATGTTCACAAATACCCCTTCGTAACCCTGAAGGGAGAAATTTTAATGGATCTTAATTAAAACGAGTTTCATAGTTCACATTTATTTTTTTTAGATAACAAGAAAAAGATAGAAAGTCAAAGAACACCCACCATAACACTGTGGAATGTTTCTTTCCCGGAGCTGGCTCCATTGGAGGTATTTAATAAAGCTGATGAATGGGTAGAATGAATTGATTTCTGCTCTATGGAACCGATGCTGTTCATTGCAATTTTGTTCCTAAAATTTAATATTCACTTTACAAAGTAAAATAGTCAAATATTACAACTATTATAGTAAAAACACACATGCACACTCTTCCTCCTGTCTGAATTATACTGTACTGCAGAAGACTGCCAATTCCAGGGTGCTGGTTTCATTGCTTTTGTAACTTACATTACAAAGAATAAATCAAAAGCTGGTGGGAAAAGAAAACTGGATGTGAAGAAGATCTACTGATCCCCTTTCATCCTCCATGCTGCCCCCACATTCCTGATCTTGATTCACTGGGGTGGTTCCTTTAGACTCTTTTACTTGTATCTTTGGTATTTGCTTGATTTTTAATGATGTACTTGTAATGCTGTATCTCTGTTTGCTAGTTTTAGATTTTCTCTTTTGTCTTCCTGATAGGGTAAATGAAAATTGATCTTCCTTATAGACTCACTTGCCCTCCTCTTATCTTCTCAAAGTAGATATACAAGAATTTAAAGATATTTAAAGATGGGGTTCATGTTATGATGACTCCTGTAGCATTTTTTCTTTGAAGGACTAAGAATTGTGCTGAGTACATTTGCTTTCTCCTATAGCCATTTGTTTTGCCTGGAGTTAATGATTGCGTTTTTTTAAATTACATACATTTTTATTAGTCTTTAATTTTCATTCCAAGTGTTTCAAACATGTACACTCACCATTATTTCTCGAAGTGCTATAGTAATTAAATGCTGCTCTTTTCTTCCTCTCTGAACTTATTGCTTTCTAGGGTGACTAATAGTATTATCTGGAAGTTTTCTTCACGCTGCTTCTACATTATATCTACTGTTTTCTGGGTTCCATGCCTTCCGATTCCTTTGCTTCCTTATTTTGTTGGGTCACATGTTCAGTAGCTTCTTGAGAATATTACTTTTAGGGGAGAACTCTCTGCTCTATGCATTGCCTCTGTTCCTTTAAACTTCCCTTTCTAGTTTTTGTTTTGATTTTGAGGGGCAATAAAATGCTGCTTGGAAATCCTGAGGGTGGGGCATCAGGGCCTTGTCCACTCTTGTTTCTTCCTGCAGAGAGGGGCTTCAGTGGGTCTTTTCTTTTGCACTGTTAAGTTTCCCCCAAATAATCTCCTGATCTCCGCAGTGTCTGCCACAGGTCTGGAAGCTGAGTGAAGTATACTGTATTTTACAAGATCCGATTTTATGCAATATCTGATTCCCTCCTCCTCCTCAATTTGAGATCCCTAAGTTAAAACCTAGTGTTTCTGTCTTCTCTCCAGGTTGAGAGGCAGCTATATTAGATAGGGTGTGGGACTGAACGACTAAATGCTCCTTACAAAGTTTTTCACGCAGTAGACCTGCTGTCGGTCTGTTTCTTACCTCACCTTTAACAGCACCTGCTTTCTAGAAACTGTCCGGCTTTCTTTCTCTGCCAGTTTTTAGTTTCCTTCTTGTAATGTAAAAGTGACAAATCTATTTGTGAACATTTACTATTTAGGTTTACTATTTGTGAACATTTTGACACATTTGTTCTAAATCTGTCCATCCGTCCATCATGTTTCTATTTTATGTACATTTGAAAGCAGATGCAAACATCATGTCAGCTCACCTGTGAATGCTTTAAAGGTCCATTCCCCATGAACAAGGATCAGCTCTCACATAATGAAACTCGAATTACCCAAATTCAGAAAGCTGAATGTTGAAATATTACTATTACCTAGAGTACAGTTCATATTTGATTTTTTCCTATTATCCCCAAAATGTCCTCTAGAACTGTTTTTATAAATTCTTATCTTTTAGTTCCAAGCTTTAATCAAGAACCACACATGGCGTTGCACATCTTCAGTCTCCTTCAAGCTAGAACATGCTTCCCCTTTTGTCTTTTGTAACCCTAACCTTTCTGAACACTTTAGGGTTGTTTTGCAGAATGTTTCTCCATCTGGAGTTTGCCTGATTATTTCTTCATTAGATTTAGATTGCACTTTTTTTTTTTTTTTTGGCAAGACTACGACACAGGTTGTGTGTTGTGTTCTTTCTGGTGTGTGACATTAGATGTGTTCAAGCTCTATGTCTCGTTGGTGATGGTAAATTTGATCACTTTCTTACTGTGGCATCTGCCTGGTGCCTCTTTGTCTTTTCCCTTTATAATTCTCTTGTTGGTATTTTGAGACTGCAGGAGCAGCTGATTCGCCAACATTCTTCACCTGTGGTTTCATCATGCATTAATATTCCTTGCTCACATCACTTTTATTACACTGGTGGCTATAATGTGAATTCTAGTTCTGTAATTTCTTCTAAAGTTAGAAATTTGTGTTCATTTGTGGGGGAAAATGACCACTGTCTTTTTCTGCAGATGCTGTGATTTTTTTTGTTTTTGCATCACAATAGATTGAGGAATTCTCTTTCATTTAATGTGTGATATTCTTTTGCATACATGCCATTTGATCTTCAACTTGTCCCAGTTTGGCCATGGAAATCCCTTCAATCTGGTCCTTGAATCTTTTGAGGTGTCCCTATCAGTTTTTTTTTTTTTTTTAAGCTATTTCTTGCTTTCTGGTACAAAAACATGTTCTGTCTTCACTTAGGCGTTTCCTGCTAGTGACCTGGAATCGGGTCTCTTTGGGGAACCCTTTTTTTCTTTCAGTGGGGAATAGTATTCACAAGAGAAGATCATGGGTACTATGCAGGCTCATTGCTACTGGAGTAGCATCGCTTCTAGAGATTTCCAAGGCGCCATGGGGGGGGAGGGGAATCTGTATTTATGCTTCTCTGTTTAAATTTCAAATCAGGAGTTCATACTGAGATCACAGGGTTCTTCTTATTCTTTGCCCAAGGCATGTTTGAACCTCCCTTCTCCTACATTCTGTTTACTAATTTTCTCAGTCTCACCATCCACACAGAATCACTCCAGAACCTACACCTACACCACCAGGCGTGGCTGGCTTTTCCTCGTGGATGTATATTTAAACCCTCTTCACTCTCTGAATGCAGCTGCCTCCCATCCATCTGCTTTCCTGCTTCCAGACGACGCTGATGGTTTCGTCTGCTTTCATCTTCTCTCGTTCGCTTCCTTTTTCTTCCTCTTACTGTCATGTTAGTGGGAGTCGCGAGGTAGTTTTTACCGTCTGCCATATTCAATGGAGAGCCTCATCGTAGATTTCCTCCCATCTGTGTGTTGCTTGAAGTGAGAAGACAGGAAATAAACAATTTACCTTTAATGCCTAAAATAACTCTGCCAATCACGTCTCCCTGACTTTCCCAGGCTGGCGTTCCTCCAGTATCCCTCACCCACAAGCTACATAGTTCCCTCTGTGACTTTCTAGATGGTTCTTTTCTAGATGGTTCTTTCTCTCTGTTGCAGCGGGTGGGACTTCTTCTCATGGCATTTGCTGGTAGCCCTGAGCTGGCCCTGAGCACTGCAGAGAATATGGCCTTCTGTGTGGGGTTGGGACTCCATGCCCCAAGTCAGGGGGCCCGGGCAGCCTCAGACGAGAAAAGAGTAGCCCTCCCTGGGAGGCCCAGGGCGAGCCGCCTCTCCAAGCCTGGTTTTGATATCTGGGTTTTCTCATTTAATTGAAACGAGTGCAGACGTTTCCCATAAACTGTAGTCCTTGGATTTTCCAAGCCACTTTGATGTTTGTTATCTCTGTTTATTCGCAACGAATGAGTTTCAAATTTCAATTTTCTCTCCACTCAATTAAGTATGTTAAGTGGAAAGCAGAAAAGCTATGAGCGGTTTTTACCTTAGGCTTCTAAGAATGCCCTTGGTAGCAGCCCCAGCAACCAGGTGTGAGTCAGGGGAGGAGCGGGAGGAGTTTTCAGGGCGCTGTGAGGTGGCCTCTGAAACAGTTGGGGGGGGTTCCTTTCTCCCTCTGTGTTTTGGGGAACAAACGATGGCGTTTTCTCTCCCTGGGTTATCTACTGCAGAGCTGCTGTGTCCCTCCTGCCCCAGTGGTGGCACATTTTGGCATCAGATCAAACATAGGACCTGCTTGTGGCTGGGAAGCTCTTTTATTCAGCACTTGGCCACCTTGGCTGTTTGTGCAGAAGCTTTTTCTCTGGGCTTATTTATTTATTTACTGTGCTGGCATTGAGGGATTATGGGTAAAACTGCTTTAAATCTGAATCAGGGTAAATAGGAATATTTAAGCCACCTTTTGGACCGAGAATGTTGTGAATATTTCACCCTCAATCATCCAGGCAGAACTGGCTTGGGTAGCTCCGAAGAGGAAGCACATCTTTCCCCATGTTCATGGCTTGGTTTTGCTTTGCTGCATTTTAGGTTTAGCGACAAATTCCATCTGGCTGGAGCTCCATGCAGTCTTGCTATTGATTGGTTATATTGGGACTTCATGGGAGTGTCCTTCAAATCGCTTTTCCCAGCATTTTTAAAAGCTCCATTGAAAAAAAAAAAAGGCGAGCCAGACAGAGAAGGGAAAAAGGACCCTGCATTGTTTCAATCTGCGTCCGGCATGTACAACATCGTCCTAAATTTTTAATTAGCTAAGTGAGTGGTGAAAGGAAAAGTAATAGAACAAGCCTCGGTGAGCAGCTGGGAGGTGTTGCCATGACGACAAGTTCAGCAGGCTGCCAGCGAGCATGTCAATGGGTAATATTGGGAGAGGGCTTTGAAACCGTGCCTGCGAGCCCCAGTGTGATTGGTTACGCCTCTGTTGTCTTTGTGTGGACCGGTGGATGCTGGGTAAGACCTGGAGTGAATGCTCAGCTTGTCTCAAGGCTGCAATGAGGTAATGCGTCTGAATCTTTGGGGATTATGAGCTCCTGCCTCCAGAAGACTGCAGTCTAGAGTGTTTTCATTCCTGTTTGCGTTAATTACCGACCATACCATGTTAAGAAGTTCTACAGCTGCTGGTTTTCATTCCTTTATACGGGCATGTGTGTGTTATAGATAACTTAACACGTGTGTATGTTGCCTATAGAATCTCCAGCGTTGTTGAA